GTTTGTCTATTATTGGTGTATAGGAATGCTTGTGATTTTTGCACATTGATTCTGTATCCTGAGACTTTGCTGAAGCTGCTTATTAGCCTAAGGAGATTTTGGGCTGAGACGATGGGTTTTCTAAATATACAATCGTGTCATCTGCAAACAGAGAGAATTTGACTTCCTCTCTTCCTATTTGAATACCCGTTATTTCTTTCTCTTGCCTGATTGCCCTAGTGTCCCAGGTCGAGTTCAGACTGCTGTGCTGGCAGAGAGAATTTGAAGTCAGTGGATCTTAGCTTGCGGGGCTCTGCGGGGGTGGAATCCACTCAGTTAGACAACTTGGTTCCCTGGCTTCAGCCCCCTTTCCAGAGGAGTGAATGGTTCTGTCTCGCTGGCACTCCAGGTACTACTGGGGTATGAGAAAAAACTCCTGTAGCTAGTTTGTTGTCTGCCCAAATGACCGCCCAGTTTTGTCCTTGAAACCTAGGGCCCTGGTGACAGAGACACCCAAGGGAATCTCCTGGTCTGTGGGTTGTGAAGACAGTGGGAAAAGCGTAGCATCTGTGCTGGAATGCACTGGTCCTCATGGCACAGTCCCTCAGGGCTTCCCTTGGCTAGGGGAGGGAGTTCCCCGACCCCTTGTGCTTCCTGGGTGAGGTGACGCCCCACCCTGCTTCGGCTCGCCCTGTGTGGGCTGCACCCACTGTCTAACCAGTCCCAGTGAGATGAGCTGGGTACCTCAGTTGGAAATGCAGAAATCACCCACCTTCTGCATTGATCTTGCTAGGAGTGGCAGACCGGAGCTGTTCCTATTCGGCCATCTTGCCAGCCTCCCCACTTGACTTTTATTAAGAGTGGCCTCCAACCCACCCTGTCTTAGGAGAGACTCTAACTCCCCTAAGTTGGGCCTCTAACCCAATCCCATTCTTTACCCAGGCACCTCACCACTTACCTAAAGTTGTCCAATCTGTGCTGCAGTCTATTTCCTTTGGGTTAGGGGCCTCCTCAGTACTGTCCCTTTTGTGGTTCGCAAGAAAGATGTTACCAGACCCCACCGCTTACCCAAAGTTAGCCTTTGGGTCAGGGTTGCTGCACTAAAGTCCCTGCTGTGGTTACCAGAAATATGTCATAGAAAGGGGTCCTGATCCAGATCTCAACAGAGGGTTCTTGGATTTCACACAAGAAAGAATTCAGGGCGAGTCTGCAGTGTAAAGTGAAAGCAAGTTTATTAAGAAAGCAAAGGAATAAAAGAACGGCTACTCCACAGGCAGAGCAGCCCAGAGGGTTGCTGGTTGCCCATTTTTATGGTTATTTTTTGTTAATTTGCTAGACAAGGGGTGGATTATTCATGCCTCCCTTTCTTAGACCACATGGGGTAATTTCCTGAGTTGCCGGGGCATTTGTAAATTGTCATGGCACTGTTGGGAGTGCAGGGGTGAGGATGACCAGAGGTCACTCTCGTTGCCATTTTGGTTTTGGTGGGTTTTGGCCGGCTCCTTTACTGCAACCAGTTTTATCAGCAAGGTCTTTATGACCTGTATCTTGTGCTGACCTCCTATCTCATCCTGTGATTTAGAATGCCTTAACTCTCTGGGAATGCAGCCCATTAGGTTTCAGCCTTATTTTACCTATCTCCTATTCAAGATGGAGTTGCTGTGGTTCACATGCCTCTAACAGAAGGAATGGGGAGCAGCACCTTCCAGGCACTGGGGAAGATGCTAGCAAAAAAAGAAGTATGTTAACTGCATGACCTGCTCAGGCCAGGACAGGTTGTCTACTGTAAGAAAAAGCTTGGTGTGATAAAAAAGCAACAGACACCTTTAATAATGAGTGGTGGGGAAAACTGGGTTGAGGGAGAACTGGAGAGTCTGCCTGTCTAAAATAGTAGCTGCAACTCAGCACCAGACGATTATGGCTGAGAATAAGAATAGTGATTTCTTTCATTTTTCCTTCCCAGAGAAACTGGGAATATTAAATTTTAAAATGTGATTTTGCTAAAGTCTAAATGTTAGTGTTCCCCCCTGCCAAGTTCATATGTTAAAATCCAAACTCCATAAGGTGATGTTATTAGGAGGTGGGGCCTTTGGGAAGTGATTAAGTCATGAGGGTGGAGTCTTTATGAATGGTATTAGTGCCCTCATTAAAACAAAAACCAATAAACAAACCCAGAGTTCCCTTGCCCCTTCCGCCATGTAAGGACACAGTGAGAAAGTGCCACCAATGAACCAGGATGTGGGCCCTCATCAGACACTGAAGCTTCCATGCAGCAAGAATGACCATGCCAAATGCAGGCCCTTCTACGCTGGACTTCCCAGCTTCTAGAACCATGAGAAATAAATTTCTGTGGCTGGGCCTAGTGCCTCGCACCTGTAATCCCAGCACTTTGGGATGCTGAGGCAGGAGAATCACCTGTGGTCAGGAGTTCGAGACCAGCCTGGCCAACATTGTGAAACCCAGGTGTGGTGGTGGGTGCTTCCACCTAAAAAAAAAAAGAAAAGAAATTTCTGTTTATAAGCCATTCTGTTTATGGTATTTTTGCAGCCCAAATAGCTAAGACATTATCTCACCAAATTTTTTATGTTGGCTAGAAAATTTAAACTTAGAATGCTTGTAACTGCCCAATGGGTTCACCTTGCCCACTGTCTAGACAGAGACGATTTATTAAGACAAAGGAAATGCAGTAGAAAAAGAGTAATTGATGCAGAGCCGGCTGTGAAGGAGACCTGAATTTTATTATTACTCAAATCAGTCTCCCCCGAGCATTCGGGGAGCAGAATTTTTAAGGACAACTTGGTGGGTGGAGGGAAGCCAGTGAGCCAGGAGCGCTGATTGGTCAGAGATGAAATCATGGGGAACTGAAGCTGTCTTCTT